GGCTGAGATAGCTCCGCTGTTTGCAATGCACATTTCAATTATAGAACAGAAGATATCATTAGAAAATGAACAATATGCATAGTATCAATGCAAAAAATCAAAAATATCATTTTTCACCAAAAATGATTGTGGTTTCTAACAAGAAGAAAATGTCACTTTTTACCAAAAATCACAAAAATATGCACCAAAATTACTGTAGATAATTAAAGATATCATTACAAAATGAACAAATCTGAGAGAGATCCACATGTAGTACCTATATATGTAATATCAAAGCAATTGGACTTGCGGTTTTTAACAAATAGTCGAAAATATCACTTTTTACCAAAAATGACAAAAATATTCACCCAAATTAGAGAATTGAAGATATGATCATGAAATGAACAAATCTAAGAGAGGTCTACCCAAGGTACATATACACCAAGTATCAAAGCATTCAGGCTTGTAGTTTTCAAGAAGAAGTCGAAAAAGTAAAACATTGACACAGACGATGGACGACGGACAATCACTCATATGATAAGCTCCGCTCGACAAAGTCGACAGCGGAGCTAAAAAATACTATTGAGAAAAATACAAAAAAAAAACATTTAAAGGGGAGCAGAGGTGTGGCTTTTGACATGAAATCTGAGATCTATGAAAGAATTCTGTCGATAAAAACAACTTGTATGTGCTGCAAAATGCGCTAAATATCCGGTATAAAACGGGCTGTAAAGTTGGGCGAAATAAGTACTGTAGTTCAAGTGATATTAGCGTATTTCTAATTTAGTTTTTAACTCGTACAGTATTTATTTCCCCACTGTTTACTATACCTAGAGCGCTGTACCTGTCTTCATTTTCAGGTTAGCTCTTCCGCCGATTTCTCGCAATCAACAACGTGATTTTTATTTGGGATTTCGAGAAACTTAACATGAATCGTTATGGCATTCATACACACAACACCTCGCCATGTTTCAACTTTTAAGTAGTCAGTTAACAAGGTCTTTCATAGTAGCATTTCTATGGGATCGACGTACTAGAATGAATGGGTTCAAATATCAGTATTCACTGATGACATCATTTGACTGGCCCTCTAGAGGCGAAATAACACCAGGCAAACCGGGCGTTTGTCGTCTGCTTCACAGCCCGTTTCATACCCGATATTTAGGGCATTTCGTAGCACATATAAATTGTTTTTATCGACAGAATTCATTCATAAATGTCAAATTTCATGTACAAGAGTGTCAAAAGTCTCACCTCTGCCCTCTTTAATATAAAAGCAGATAGAAGTGCATAAAAAAAACTAATCAGCAGAGGTAGTGATCATCTAACCTATGTGTATGTCAAATTTCCTTTGAACTGGATTGCAGCATTCATTCTAGAAAATTGTCTCAGATTGGCTGTTAATTTGCATATTAATTTGCATACTAATTAACATATTGTAGTTGTATTAAAATAATATATAAAATAATATCCGAAGGGTTGAAAAAAAAATTATGACTATTAAGTCAACATCATTAAAATTAAGGATTTCGTGAATTTGACCCCTCCCTAATATTGTATCACATATCCCTTAAAAACATGGCCGCCGTTAAATCCATCTCAGTCGAGGTTCGTAATTTATTTTCCTGCTCATAATGGAGATAATTCATGGTAGCTAAACATTGAAATTGCCACTCTGACTTAAGTACCGAAATAAATAGCTGATTGGGAGAATGTGTCTCTGTTGACAGAGGTTCGATTTACCGATAAACTTCAACACTGGTAGATCCCAGCATGGAGGTCCCGGTCACGAGTGTATCATATTTACTTCAAAGGTAATTTAAAAGTGATGATAGATTCATTGATATTGAATAACAGTACTTCTCAAGTTCATCATTGCTTTCAAGCAGTCACGGTTGGCCGAACTTGACTTGTGTTTTCTCGATAATTCTAGTCTAATATGTTGTCACGAAACCAACAAACACCGGAAATAGCAATCGTACATAACAGAATCACGATCAGCGTGTTCTAAAGTTTTACATTTTTTTATTATTCCAGTATTTTATATGCCAAACGTAATTCCCAGGCCTCTTAAATGACAAGATAAACTTTCCATTTACACGTTTCATAACTAGTTCTTACAATAATAGCAGGACTGTTTTTTTCTGGCAAAGTGTAAACCAGCACTGCGCGATCGCTAGTTTCTCACAAAAGTCAGGACACAAAAAGATAAATCAAAGTTCATAATAAATACCATAAGCACAGTTTCTTAACTTTGAAACTGACGAGATAGAATTTAATCTATATAAGCCTTGTGCAAAGAAACGACGCCGATTTTCTCATCAGTTAGACTGGCACATGCGCAATACGTTATGCCGTTCTCTTGGGAGATGTCGTTAAAACACGGATTTTTCCGGCAAATTTTGGCATTCTTACTAGTATGAACGCACACACGCACGAACGCACGAACGAACGAACGGACGAAAGCCAATCTAGAAGCTTTCATCAGACTTCATCTGCGGAGGCTAATGATGATACACAAAGTAGTAGGGTTATGACAGTACGATCTCCATGGTGAAATGGATATTCACCGATCTAAATAAATCTATAGAATTCTAGATTGTCATTCATAAGCATTTATTCTGTTATTTAATATTTTAGAATTATGACATATTGTCACAGGCACACGAGAAAATTAAAATTAACTGTTGATACAGTGATCAAAACATTGGTAATACTTAGGGGGAAATCGAAATCTGTTTATTTGATCATACAAATAAGAAAATTCATGAATGCACTGTATACAATTGAAGCAATACAGACTCCAAAAATGAGTATCTTTGTTATACAGGTTAAGATACAACACATGATAACACACTATATAAGTAAGTACATATATCTTGTATAATGTGAATCTAGTTAACAGTATGATTAAATATATGATTCTGAATATACAGGAAATATTTTTTTTTTTGAATTTTATACAAACATCAAGGCTCATTCATTGCTTTATCTACATCTTTATGTAACATAGTGTGTATTACACCATAAACAATATATTTAACATTCTAAACTTATCTATCGGCTTTATTAACTTTATCAGTTACAAATGTTTTCACTGGGGTTACTGCAGATTAATATAGTGACATTGATTTTAGCTAGCTTGTCTAGGAGGGACAAGGACAAAAATAAACTTCAACTGGCAAATGATGAATTTTGATTTGAATGGGTCATCCACAATATAGTATTGCCCAAAACGATCTCTCAATTAAAAATACATGATCTGTATTAATCTTGGGTCCTCATAAAAATATTGTATTAAAGGTTTCAAACAATGTTATTTGTTTGATATGAGAGGAGGCTTGGCCCAAATGAGTTAGTCTACACAATCCAAATAACATATCAAGTCATTGTAATAGCCTAAACAGATTTCTGCTAGTTATTAAATATGATTCTTAATTATCATCGTAGTCTGTATATAACTATGTTCATTGTCTGTATTATATAATGAGATTTTATATTGTTTGATAAAATATCTATGTTGGTAGATTAAAAAATAAAAATTGTCATTTCACAAAATTACACTAGCAAGGTGTCAAAACTGCACACTTGTTGATAATATGTTCAAGTTTGACAAAGATTCAATTGAGTTTGAGTTATTGAAACAAGAAAATAGAACAACCCCACTAACCAACATTATTATACAGTTATGATTATAACGCGATAATGTACGACGTGCCGTAATTTTGCAGAATTGCACTAGGCATTTGCATCCTACCATATTGGGAATTGCGACTTCTAAATAAAGACGGTTACGCACATAAGTGTCCTTTAATAATAAAAACAAACATGGCAGCCCCAGTGTTTGATCGGACACCACAAGGAGAAGTTCGCCAAATCTGTTCAAAACTAATTTCCCTTGATGTATCCTTGGCAAAAACAGATGTATAATAATAAGGTTGCTATTCTTTACACTCCAGCTTCTCTTCAGTCTGCTATACAGCACAAGCTGAATATTTACAAATTAGACATTTGTGTAAATATTATATGCAAGGTAAATAATAAAGTATTTAAATTGATAGAAAGACCAAATAAAATAAATAAAATATAATAAAGATATTATTTAAATCCATATATACATGTACAGCAGACAAGTAGTAACGCAAAATTAATTCAGGTGCATTACAGTCCAATCTAATCATAGCAGACTACCTCATATTCAATCATTCTGTAAACATACTACAGTGGCTTGAAATGAATCTGGTTATTAAGTCAAGTCTGAGGTAAGGGTAACAAGTTGAAACAATCAGAGAATAATAAGCTATGGCCTTGGCTTTCGAGTCTTTGAATCTACTTATTTACTGGAAGTTGGAATATGTATCAAAAGATTCAAAATAATCCAAGATGACATCATGGCAGTATTTATACTGAGCCTGAAAAAGACAAATAAATATGGGTGACGAAATTCGCATAACATGGTAGGAAAGGTTGTAATTTTACATATATCTCTTGGCCAATAAAAACAGTAATATGTAATTACGTACATCACTACAATAGATGTATGGTGTTATGTACAGTCAGAGTATTTGCCGATCTCGAGGATAAACACATTGCCATTCTCATGGAGTGGAGACAATAGAAATGTAATCTCTGGTGTAGTGTTTTTTATCACCAAAAATGTCAATTAATTTGACTTACCATACTTTCTACCATGTGTGGTCGATTAGCTCTGAGTGCTTTCACAGCTTGGAAAATGTCAACCATCTGGTCCACTTTGATTCTATCACAAGTAGACACTGACGCACAATATACACCACAACGACCAATACCATTGCTATAGAGAAATAATACATAAAGCTACATGTTATTAAGTCATTGTCAATTTCCTGCCTCTCTAAACATAAATTGAGATGATACCTGAACAATTTATTTGTATTGTATAGTCACCAGTCCATTACCAGTCTGTTGTTGTCATCCGTCCTGCCTCCCTAAAAATAATTTGAGATGATCCCCGAAATACTTACATGCAGTGAACAGTCACTGGACCATTTCCAGTTTGCTTTTGCCATTTTTCTACCATGGACATCAGATCAACAATGACAGATTTACTTGTTGGGAATTCCTGATCAGCTGGCCAACATGTCACCTGAAACTGCTGAATTATTTGTACTACTCCCTTTGCCTGCAAAACAAACACTATGATTATTTTCATCTATTTCAACGTTTTTTTATTCAGTAGCAGACTAAGTTGTTGCTGACACACTTTCACAAGGTGCAAAATTCAATACACAACAATAATTCAAAATTCAATGTTTTAAAATTCAAAATTACTTTCATACCTCATTTAATAAGTCAAGGTTTGGAAAGACAACTGAGTAAGTCAATTGTAATACATTATAGTATAGATTGTACATTGCATGTATGAACCAATTGTTAAATCTAAGCAAGTGATTTAAATCAAATGGCTACAAATTAAGTTACTTTTATAAGACTTTAAACAACTCTTGGCTAAAGATTTATGGTTAGATATGTAATTTCCACTTTACTCACATTTGTCAGATGTATTGTTCTTGTTGTTATATTTTTCATGTTATCAGTTTTCACAGTCTCCAACAGAAATGGTCCACACTGCATAACACCCTCATCAGGCCAGTATTGTCCAAGAGTCTGAAATATACATTACAGGTACTTTATGAACATGTACATATGCAACACATAATTGAAATCCATAAAAGTAGATAGCCCCAGCAAGCTTCTTTGCAGAAAAAAAGCAAACAATGTACAATAAATGTTGAGAAGTGAGTTGGGAATAAATGAATAATTGATAAAATCACTTTGACCCATATGATTGAGAATAACAGATGATTTATAATGCCTTTCTCTGTAGTACTATGATAGTATTTGGTAATGGCATCCGAGTTACAATGAATACATACCATATCATTGTGATTCATATCATTGAGCATAACAATAGATGTTGATTTGTAATCATACACCATTCTCCAAAGATCTACAATAGTATTTGGTAATGGCATCTGAGTTACCATAAATGATTCTTTCACTGTATATGCCTAGGCAGATTTAAAATATTATTATAATTTATAT